TTTGAGAAGGTGATAGGCTAGTCGAATTACTAGAGCTTTGACCAAAATTTTATAGGCCACATTCAAAACCGAGATTGGTTTGTAGTTCCTTACTTCACTCTTATCCCTTTTCTTATAGAGGAGGGAAATAGTGTTCATTAACCATCCCTTCGGTAACTGACTTGAAATAAGACAGTTATTGAATATTTGACATAGAAAGGGGGCAAAGGTCTCCCAGGCGCGTAAGAAAAGTTTCACTGGCAACTCGTCCAGTCCAGATACTTTACCTTTGACCATTTGTTTGGTTGCTGTATGTAACTCTGAAGCAGTGAAGGGGGGATCCAAATCTTGTCCGCTTTCCGGTGAGATGCATCCCCTCAGACCCTCCCAAAAGGCGAGACCAAAGCAAATCTTGTCCGCTTTCCGGTGAGATGCATCCGCCTCCCTCACTGCCTGCTCGGCCTTCCTCTCTTTCCAGTTCTTGTTCGTCGCTCGCATTTTTGAAAATGTCTCAAGACCTACTGTTATAATTCCTAACCCTACCTCAGCCCAAGTCCCTTCTTGATCAAAGAGGTTTTTAACTCTCATCCAAACCTTCATTTGCTTACCAACCCACTCCGGAATCCCCTTCTCTTTTAGGTGATTGACATTCAACCGAAAGGGGGGACGACACTTTTCAAACTGCTGTTTGGTTATCACGTCCATCCCTACGGGGATGTGATCCGAAAAGGATCCTACCAAGGTGTCACACCATAGGCACCTGTCCCATACCGTCCCCCTGGCCAAAAGGAAATCCAACCTCCTTTTAGGAATCGGGGCTTAGGGGGACGGACGGGGACCAAACCACGTATACCCATTGCTTTCTGGATTTAATGTTTTATAGACGTCCTCCAGACTTTGAGAATCCATCAGTGAGGTAAGCATTAACGTGTCCTCTCTGATTGGAGTGGGATTGGGTGAGTCCAAACCGGGGTTGAGAATCGTGTTCCAATCGTCGGCTATAACCAGGTTTTCCACATCCGGAATCCAGGAAGGGAGCAATGCAAAAAATAATATTCTTTCTCTATAACTTACTGGGGCATATACAAACATAATTTGAAAATTCTCAGTTTTCCTCTTCGACTACCAACTTAACTCACACCACTCTACCTTTAGGATCAATAAAATTATCTATTACTTCAACGTTTAAATCCTTATTTAAGAATATGACCATCCCACCCTTCGTATCCTCGGTCGGGGCCCAGAACTGGGACCCCTTCCACCATCTCCTCGCTCCCTCTATTTTATCTAGATTCAACTTTGTTTCTTGGATGCAAATAATGCGGGCGTCCTTCGAATGCGACCAAGCTACTAAGCGATTTTTTTTTTTCCTATTGGATGTGTCCTTCAAACCTCCGACGTTCCATGTCACTATCCTAACCTTGTTTGGCAAGACCATCGACATGGTCATTGCGGGCAGCGGGTTGGATGCGGATGTCTGAGGCATCTAGGTAAGTTTTTGGTTCCTCTCGTTCTGAGTTGTCCCCGACTCCAATGTCAGTGGCCCAGTCCTGTAGGACAGGGGCACCTTGTGAAACCTGTTGTTGTGCATCGGTCCTGTTTAGCCAATCTGCCACCAACAGAGCATTCAGGTTATAATTCATTCTGATACTCTTTAAGAGGTTTGTATCTGATGTGAAAAATGGGGCAATTGGAATCCAGTGGGGTTGTATTTGTTACCACTGGTCTCTGGTGCCTTCGAGCGATAACAAACTCAGAAAGCATAAATGGATTAACGTTCTTTCACCTTTCTGAGTTTTCACCAGAAGCCTGCCCATCCTTGGTTATTGGATTAGTGAAACTTTACCCATATTCTTTAGAACCTATGTCTGGGTCTGACTAATCTCCTGATCCTCTGACGGTTGGGCCTGCATCGGAATGACAGGGAGTTCCAACACCTAATCACTCGCTTGCGTGGTCAGGACACACATTCCCAATTGGGTAGACGTACATACAAGCGGGGCTAAACAATGCTTCATCACTTTGTTTAGCTTCTCGTTTTGGGAGAGAGTCTCCATCGGCGCTGCGAAGCTCAGTTCCACACATGCCGCTCGATTCGTTCGTGTCCTCTTGCAGATGTCCTGGTGGATGTGTCATGCCTTCTCGTCTGCGTTTTCTTTCCCATGTTCTGGTTCCGTATCAAAATACTTTCGAAAATAACTGGTCCCATCTTCTAGTGTACTCTTCTTTGTTGGGTCGGGCTTTGAGAGAGAGGAGCCTCCTTGCCTTTTCCCATCATAGTGGACATCCTGGCCTTTCTGAAGTTGTTTCTTCTTTGTCTTAACTATCTTGGGTTTTGACACCCTCGCCCTGTCCACTACTTTAAACATCAAGTTCACTTTTGCTTCGTCCAATATTCCTTTCCCTTCTGCATCTCTTCCCTCCTCCTCTCCCGGGTGATTCTTGTTCGGCACATCTATAGACGCCTCTGGGGGCGTGGTGGCCAGCTTGTCCTGAGAAACTAGGGGAGCTCCTTCCAAGTTGGGAAGCCCAAAGCTTCTGGACCTAGCTTTTCGACTAAGGCCATAAGGTTTGGGTCTCCTTGCTCTGTCTTTTCTCTGTGCGCTCTGTCCCCCTCCCAACCGTTCGTGTTCCCTTCTCTCTGAGGGACCACCTCCCGCTCAAGATCCTTGGCCTGGTCTTTCGGGGTGGCACCCTTTTCTTCAACCTCCATCAACATATCCTTCAGTTCTACCCTCGCTTCTTTTCCCTTTTGCAGCCTTAGATCTCCACCCTCTCCTCCTTCTTCATGTTCATCCTCTTTCGAAGCTTCTTCCACCTTCTAGTGCGTAGGCCCTTTGTTCTCTCTGCCTTTTTTATGCCATTTGAGCTTCGGTTTATCATTCTGTACTGGATGTTTTTGACGGTGGGGCTTTGAGCCTAAGGGTAAGGGGTGGGGCAGGTTTTCCTGGTTCTTCTCTTCCTCTTATTTGTCTTTAGTAACGTAGGAGCGCCCCATCATCCTTTTTTTCTCCTCATGTCTTCTCTTCTGCCTCCTTCCTCCCCTCCTCTTTCTTTTTCTCTTTCAAAACCGTCTTTTTATACCATGCTTTCCGTGGGTATTTCGGATCTGTATCCGTGTGGAAATATTGCGTGCACACACCACACCAAGGCGTATCAGCGCAGGCTTCGACGAATCCGTATTCCCCCATATCCACCACCAGTTGTTTCTTGTAGTTTAATTTCACAGATGGAGTGAGGTCAAATTGAATCGTCCAAAGGTCCGGGGATATTGGGTCTTTGAATGCAGGGGGCGTGCGCAACACATTTCCAAAAGTCATTTTAACGGCCCCCCGAAGGTGCGACAAAACCGAGACCGGCACCTGAAGTACTCTGACAAAAAAAAAGGAGAAAGTCATGACTTCATTCCACTGATAGAGTTGATTTTCAGTCATCCAAGGTTTAAAAAATATCGTGTATTTCTTCTTATCGAATTCGATCACATCTTGTCCTTTGCCCAATATCCAAGAGGCTATCTCCCTTGCACTAGCGACGTATGTGACTAAATTCCTACCTTCATGACGAAAAATACCTCTTTTATGGGGAACATTCAACAATCTAGCCTTCGCCCAACCCCGTTCATATATCCTTACTAACTGGTTTTTAATTGTCACTGGAACTGGCGACAGATCATCCCCGAAATGAATAGAGACGGCATGCTGACGTAACCACTCCGCATGAACTTCAAATACGTTCTTGTTGATCACTACACGTACAAAATCTGACCCTCTCTTGACCACCTGAGGAGAAAGATTTTCAGGGAGGATACCTTTGTTATAGCAGTCCTCCAGAATCCCCCTAATCCTTTGTTTTTCCTCCGTGGACATGGCGGTTGGGGTGGAAGAGGTCCCGTGGACATGCCGGTTGGGGTGGTGGAGGTCCGAGCATCCATTTTGGGAACACCAAATAGCCCTGGCCAAATATATAAAAAAAAAATTAACGAAGGACTTCACCTACTAAAATTAACCCAAACTACTCCAACTAAATAAAATTTAAATAGCTGATGCGTAATTATCTGTTGAGCATGTCCTACAACCTTACAACCCTTAAGGCTAGGGAGGATATCATCTCTGGTCCTTAATTACCGATTCTCCGCATTCTAGACCAGTCTTGTAGTTTGCGCCCAAAATTCGTTTAGTATCTGGAGTGCGAATCCTCTCATTTATTCCCATTACAATCGACTGAATCCCTAACGCATTTACGGAGGTCCTGGTTGACTATTCCTATGGAAGGATAGGGGATAGAAGACCTCTGTTCCTCCCTAAATGCCATCAAGCCGAGCACCCTCCTAAGCACAGGACTTACCAACCATTTGAACGAGATTCTTCGTACGACTGTTACTTCTTCGAGCACTGCTGGCAAAGCGTCCTTGAAGACATGACTACATCAGTCCTTTCAACCTCCATGTGGGTGATCCGCCGCTCCGAAGCAAAGACAGAAGCTCCAGCCCTTTAGTCAACCCCTGCCCGGGGTACTCTTACCCCTTGGCCTCTCCACCACCGACTTCCGTGTAGAACTTACTGACCATATCCATTTCCTGCTTCCCTCCTCCCTCTCGGCCTCAATGTTCAGTGTCGCTCATCCCATGGCCCACGGATAATTCTTCTCGCACTCCATCCCTCTCGCCCTTGGCCTCTCTGGTCACCTCCCCCTGAGCAGGCTGTTCAAAGGCCATAGGCATTCAAAAAGGTCCTCACCTCATGTGGACCTTTGAACAGGCTGCCCTTTGACTGGACAGGCCTTTGAACAGGCTGCCCCTGTTCTTGGTTCGGTTATGGGACCCATGGACATGTTATTATAACCCTGACATGGCCATAGGCATTCGAAAAAGTCCTCACTGATCTGGTACGCTGGCGGCTTGCACTTGTCCCATGTGGTTCTTCGCCTGGTTTCCAAACGGTCGTGGGAGCCAAACCAGCCGGTAATGTTGGAAAGGCGCGGTTGATTCTGGCGCCAGCCTCGGCTCCGCGGAGATGATGCAGGTCGCCTCAGCCGGCGGAGAAGGAGACGCGCGGACATCCGCGCTGCCAGTCGGCAAGCTGAGCCCAGACAGAGCGGGCCAGCAGGCTTCGCACCGAGCGTGACCAGCCGGCGATGGTGGCACGCCTGCAGCCAGCAAGCAAAGCGAAGCCGGCGATTTCGTCGGAAGCGTACATAGGTGAGGAGTGCGGTCGCTATTATCTTGTCTACCGGCGAACGGAACCAACGGAACGAACGGATGGACGTTGCAATTAATCAAACTGAATCAATCAAAACGTAACCAACGAATGATCATCGAGCAATCGGTCTCTTGGGCGACGGGGGAAACGACGACGGCTGCGTAGTTCAGGTGATCTGTCCGACAGGGCGGGCGACAGATCGACTGCGCGATCGACCCAGGCCTCAGATCGACCGGGACACGCACGCTGGGAAGGCGGAGGTCGAGCGACGGCCGAGCGTCGAAAGAGCGACACGCGAGCGACAAGTGATAAACATCTGCTCAACTGGGCGACACTTACGTTCAGAGGAGCAACGTGTTCAAAACTGAGAGAGAGAGAGAGAGAGAGAGAGAGAGAGAGAGAGAGAGAGAGAGAGAGAGAGAGAGAGAGAGAGAGAGAGAGAGAGAGAGAGAGAG